GAAAGGTGGAGGTATCGCTGCCCAAAGGGAACATCCTGGATCACGTGCGGGCTAGTTATGCAGGACAAAAAGTGATCTAGCTGTTTATCTTCCACTTGCATCCTCAGGCTTCTTGGCCGGGGTAGTAAAGTACCATGCCCATATTGAAGAGAGTGCTGTCTCGCCACTTTAAACCGGTACTGTGTGAGCCCTGGAATATAGTTCTGGATACGCTTAAACGTTGTAAGGTCTCCCATGATTGATAATATCTGACGCCTTGTTTCCCAGCTAGATGCGTCTCGGGAGGATTCGGCCAGTGCCTTGAGATATTTTCGGTCTTCTTGTCGTTCACCGATATCTAGTTCCTTCTCGACGGAGCCACAATTTTTAACGGCCTCCCAGAGATAGCCCGCGTCTCCAGGTCCGATAAGGTTAGGACCAGCCACAATAACAAACTTGCCCTTGTACGCTCACTGGCTTCCTCCATTTGCTTTTTATATGGCTCGACTGTATCAGTATTGCATGCACGCAAGAAATTATTCAACATTACGCGTCTTTTGACCTGACCACTTTTTGGTAGATCGTCACCACTAGAAGTTTCACTGCTGCTTGCTTGAGAGTCGGGTTGATACAGGCTAGTGTCTATGGTCGCGTAGTGTTTTGAATCGCCTAGTTAAGAGTTAGAAAGAGACATACTTTCATCTTCTATCGACAGGTGGTGGATTGAGACATTGGTAGGAGAGTTGGGCTGGTACGGGATACTGTCTTCTATCGCCAGGTGGTGCATTGAGTTGCAAACGTTTTCTACCCTATGTCTCGGGAAAATGGTAAGTTCAAGATGACTTTCGTTTACCTCAAAAATGTCTTTGAAGATGAAACGCTCAATTACTACAAGCTCTTAGATTAATGCTTTTTACCTATGAAATCTCCTCACATTGCACAGATGAAGCAGTTAATTCGATTAGCATATCCTCATCTTTCCGCCCTCGCCCACCGAAGTAAATAGATAAATAAATAAATAGATAAATAAATAAATAAATAGATAAATAAATAAATAGATAAAAAAAAAATAAATAATATCAGCTTTTGTAAAACGAACAAGGCTGTCACGCATGTCCGTTATCTTGGCTGGTTTTAGGCAATGTTTCCCCTTTGTCGACAGTCTTAATGAGCAGGGTAAGTTTTAGCCTTGTTTGATTTTGGAGGTTTTTAAGGTGTTTGCCTTTACTTTTGCCATAGCTTGACCTTAACATTTTAATTAAATGAACTCAATTAAATTTAATTTAAGTTATTGCATTTCGTGAATGTATCGAAAACATCGCCGTGTTTTTCATTGTTTACTACCCTTTTTCAGTGTTCGCCTCGGAAGAGTTTTGGTTCTAAAATTGCGGTTCAGCATTAGGTTCATTTACACTTAGACGATGTGCAAACTTTGACTTAACAAAAAAAAGGACTTTAAAGGTAAACTTATTGATCTTCAACGGTGCTTGATATATATGAACGAGATACCGAAAATTAAAATTTCCACGCTATACCGACTTTCTCAATTGTGAAAGTGTAGCGAGGCGACCAGTTTATGTTGGAAATACATACATACTGTTACTACATACCTGCCCGCGCCAATAATAACGTTGCATCAGAGTCTGACTTAGTGTCCCGAATGTTGAAATAACGCAAGTGCCCTTGCATGGATTTAGTACACTTGGCAAGAATTACAATTTTCACATCGCCAGAATTGTCGACACTTGAACCGCATGTTCCCCCAACAATCTGCCCATACTCGCACGCTGCCATTCAAAAGCGCCGTTCCGGTGGTCTTATCTTACTCCGTCAAACTTCGCTTTATGCTCAGTAAATAGACTATGTAAGGTTAAGAAAAGGAAATCTTCGCAGCCTCTTTAGAACACGGCTCTCTTCTCAATTTACGTGATCGTTGAGTAATTTAGGTATTACGCCCTAACGTCCAAAAAATAAAGGAAAAAGTTTAACCTATTCATTGGCGTGAGGCGTTCGGCAATCTGCATTGAATATGCTGCCTGTGGACCATTAGGCAGGGAAACATCTCAAAGGTTAGAATATTTGTTAAACAATTCATAAACTCGTAGTTATGCCGTGTCTGTGTTGTAAACATACTTTGAAATTATGATTTCGTAGTAAACAAACACGAATTGCCTACTGACGAAACTGGGTAAAATTGCTAATTTTACTTTTCAAGTTGTCCTCCGTGGCTAATACTTGATTCCAAATTCAAATTTTCAAATTCAAAGCTCGTGTTAGAATTTCCGATCGATATGAAAGGTCAAAAGATCGCTCAAAAGTGACCTGTTTTGAAAACGCTCTAAAAACTCGCTGTTTAATTTACCCCAGTTTTTTTTCGACCAATGTTTCGTCGAATTGATTATGTTTTCCTGGGGTGTAGTTTCGTGGAGCAAAGCGATGTACCAATATGTTTTTTTTGTCCCTGAATTCAGCCAAAATTGGGCTGTTATAATCATTCTTAAAAGGGCACAACTTCAAAAAATTGGTCAAAAATTCATGTTTACGTCTTATTAAAATTTGACACCACCAGTCTTCGAAGGAAGTATAATTATTTGATCTACAGGGTTAGTCCTTTCAAGAAAAAGCTCTGTGTATAAAAGGGGGCTTCTGTGAAAGTGCCTACTTTGGCGTGATTTTAGTCGGCCTCCACAGGCAAAATTGAAAAAAAAAATCACAAAAAATAAATAACGCTCCAAAGAAAACGAAACCTATGTTTTTTAGAAATAGTTCACCAAGGGCTTTATTCTTGCAATAAAACAATAGGGACCTTAAGCAGTCAGGAAGGCAACGCTAAGGAAGACTTCGATTAAAAAATGAATTTCTGCCTTAAATTAGAATTTCAAAAGTGGCAACATTTGTTTACCGTCTCATACGGCGCCACACCTCAACTTCAGCATAACGTATTGCGTGGGGCGGCCAAGAAATGTACAAAGTTTTAAAACGTACGTGCTGAGCTATTGTTCTGCCAATTAGATCTTTTCTTTTTCCATGTCCTCGTTGCCGTCGCCGTCGTGGTTTGCTTAAGGTCCCTAATGATGTTCGGAAACCCGGAATATTCCGGGACGAACACGTGCGCCCAAAATATTGCGGGAGCCGCACGATAAGGGCTAAACATCGAATCCAGCGATGCATCTTAAGAAAGCTTTCAAATCAAACTTGCTGCTGTGAGATGAATAACCTTAAACCAATTCACCTAAGAGTGGCTTGCATCATGGACGGGCGGAGGAAGAGTCTTTATTCATTGAAAGCGGCCTTCTGCATTGAAAGCTGCAACTACGTAAAATAATGTTTACTCCTAGCTCGTGAGTGGGATACTGGTCTATCGCAAGCTACTCCCAGTATTACATCACGTTTTCTTCTACGGCACCAGATTGGACTCCTCGGCGGTGAGAGACACTGGGAGAGTCAAGCTTCTTGCTGAAATCTAACTATATGATATTCATTTATCATCTTAAAAGGTCACGTTAAAGAGTAAAGCGCAGGCCGAAACTTAATGTTCCAGGCGTAATGATGAACAGTTTATTAGATTTTTTATGCAAGAAACAATAAATCGTAAATTGTATTTGACTTATTCGGTATTTCATTAAAACTCCTTTATAACATTTTAATTGCAACCCTGTAAGTGTGAACTCTGCAAAGTGCCTTATGATGCCACGAATATGTCATATTATCTCTTACTTCACTTACATGCATCTGTCATGCAGTAACCAGTGAGGGTTAAACTTGTACCAAGAGGGGGTTCCCCTATTTAAATTCCGAGAAATCGTGCTTGCGGTGAAAAGACCGAGTTAGTTATGACTCCGCATTGCATTTGAAAGAAACAGGTATCGAATTCATTTTTGATACCTATTCTATAATTATCGTTCGCCGCCAAATCTACAACCTGGGAAAATAACTATGTCATGTCAAGAAGAAAAACCCGGGCCGAAACTTAACCTTTCAAGTCCGAAAGAATTTCGGTACGTGCCTTGTAATCATAAAGGAGTGAGAAGCATTTCTAATCCATATTTAGTATCCAAAACAATTCGCGAGTATGCGATTAGCTGATGTGTATGATCGAGATATATGTAGGGGCATGTTCGTGAAAGATTTATTATATTTTGTAATTCATCTTAAATTTTTGTCTTATCGGCATAAACCCTATATTCGATGCTTATTCTGGAGACAGTTTATGTAGATCCTTCTTCAAATTTCTTAGAGCAGCGTCAAATGATAGATTTCAGTACTTCTTCTTTACTTACATTTGGACCGTGAAAAGCGACGGAAATACTTTGCTAAGCACATTTGGATGACCCAAATGTTAAAATGAAACTACAGTAATTTTAGCTTAATGCTATCACTTTTAAGAAAAAAATGCCTTACTTAAAAGCCTGAAGTAAGGTTCCTGAACAGAAAAAATGGTACAGACATTGAGGTAGACAGAGCCATCCGTAAGAACAGATTTCCGTGGATCGTGGACCGTGCGGGAATCACTCTGTAGATCGTTTTGGCCGTCAGGCTAGTTCTCACGAGCAAGTATAAACTTAAAAAATTCCTACGTATCTCTAAGCGCCGAGTTGCCATAAAAACATGTACTATAAATCACTCACGATTGTCTACCATGAATCATATTAACCTTAGATAATTAGGTTTAATTCACTTGCTTGATATGTGTTTTAGTCTTGTTTATTCCATATTTCTTGTCATATCCTTTGATCAGCACAATGCTCAAATATTAAAAAAGCGTTATATTCTCCTTTTTCACTTGGATTTTTTTCATTAATAGTTATAGTATATTATCTGTAACAGTAAACAACAGTTATGAAATGGCAGCTGTCTGTCAGAATTATAATTTTGCAATCACTTCCCTTGACCGATAACGTAATTATTCGATGCTTCTTTGCTTAAAAATAATTTTCGGTAAATTCCCAATATGATAACGAATTGTTTATAGCACTAGGGGGTTCCCCGGCAGATTTCTGAGAAACCGAAAGAGCTCAGATATGCTGAGGTTTTAATTTACATCTGGATAGCGACACTCGTACGTTCGACTCCTTTTTGAATATTCCTTAGTTATAATAACATCATATATTAGTAAACTACTGAGTCCAATGGATAAGACACATCAAGGGAAAGAATCGAAGCATAAAGTATTCGTCTCAACAGCCATAGACGGATCGATCAAGTCGAATTGGAAGGCAGGACTTCTAATTCTGTTCATCGTGGCTACTTGTTTTGGTCTAATATTTGCACTAACATCACGAACTAAAAAATCTCTCAAAATCGGAGGTGAGTATCGGAGTATTTGTCACTGAGTGAAGGAGTGAAGGATTGAATTCAACGCAGCAATATAAAGCAATCACATGCACATTTCTGCGAATGCTGTAGCATGAATCCCTGGAAATTTAACTGTTAGCGTGAGAGTTGCTCAACATTCTTTCACAAGTTAACTTGCTCATTCACCAATACTTTGCTTCAGCAATGACTTTTCATCCGATCTTTGTCTTAGTCGAAACTTAATTCTTAAACATACCAACAGAACAGCGATGGATCGGATATCAGCAGTTTAAGCTTATTTTCGACTGTGAACTTGAGAACAAGAAAATGCTTCGATAAGCAATTTGCACGTACTGATGTAAAGCTGTTGTCTTTGGGTTTGATCTGCTGAATTATTTGTGTAGTGTCTAATGCACCGAAATAATGATAATTCAAAAAGTCATAAGCCGTCCAGAATTTTAAAGTTCGGTATAAAAATATTGATCCGTCTCGTCTCTCCTTAACAGATGCACCAACACTAGCGACAAGTTTTAACTGCCGTCACAGCTGTAGCGACCATGCAGTGTGTGACAACACTGTGGGTTCCTATAAATGCAGTTGTTTGAATGGATTTGTGGGAGAAGGACAGTCTTGTTACGACATTAATGAATGCAAAACTAATGCTCACAACTGTAGTTTTCATGCATCATGCAATAACACTGTCGGCTCCTACATATGCAGTTGTCTGGTAGGATTCCAAGGTGATGGACGGTCTTGTCATGATATCGACGAATGCAAGACTAACGCACACGATTGCAGTGTTCATGCATCCTGTAATAACACTGTTGGCTCCTACATGTGCAGTTGTCTGGAAGGATTCCAAGGCGATGGACGGTCTTGTCATGATATCGACGAATGCAAGACCAACACACACACTTGTAGTGTTTATGCATCCTGCAATAACACCGTCAGCTCTTACATGTGCAAGTGTCTGGAAGGATTCCAAGGCGATGGACGGTCTTGTCATGATATCGACGAATGCAAGAATAACACACATACATGCAGTGTTCATGCATCTTGCAATAACACTGTCGGCTCCTACATGTGCAGTTGTCTGGTAGGATTCCAAGGCGATGGACGGTCTTGTCTTGACATTGACGAGTGCAAGACTAACATACACACCTGCAGTATTCAGGCATCCTGCAATAACACTGTCGGCTCCTACATGTGCAGTTGTCTGGAAGGATTCCAAGGCGATGGACAGTCTTGTCATGATATCAACGAGTGCAAGACTAACACACACGATTGCAGCGTTCATGCATCCTGCAATAACACTGTTGGCTCCTACATGTGCACTTGTCTGGAGGGATTCCAAGGCGATGGACGGTCTTGCCATGATATCGACGAATGCACGACTAACACACACACTTGTAGTGTTTATGCATCCTGCAATAACACCGTCAGCTCTTACATGTGCAGTTGTCTGGAAGGATTCCAAGGCGATGGACGGTCTTGTCATGATATCGACGAATGCAAGAATAACACACATACATGCAGTGTTCATGCATCTTGCAATAACACTGTCGGCTCCTACATGTGCAGTTGTCTGGTAGGATTCCAAGGTGATGGACGGTCTTGTCTTGACATTGACGAGTGCAAGACTAACATACACACCTGCAGTATTCAGGCATCCTGCAATAACACTGTCGGCTCCTACATGTGCAGTTGTCTGGAAGGATTCCAAGGCGATGGACGGTCTTGTCATGATATCGACGAATGCAAGAATAATACACACACATGCAGTGTTCATGCATCCTGCAATAACACTGTCGGCTCCTACATGTGCAGTTGTCTGGTAGGATTCCAAGGCGATGGACGGTCTTGCAATGACATTGACGAGTGCAAGACTTACAAGCACACTTGTAGTGTTTATGCATCCTGCAATAATACCGTCGGTTCCTACATGTGTAGTTGCCTCGAAGGATTCCAAGGCGATGGACGGTCTTGTCTTGACATCGACGAATGCAAGAATTACACATACGATTGCAGTGTTTATGCATCCTGCAATAACACTGTCGGCTCTTACAGTTGCAAGTGTCACAAAGGATTTCTGGGGGATGGACGGTCCTGTGATGATATTGATGAATGTCATACCAATAAACACAATTGTAGTGATCATGCATTTTGCACTAACATTATTGGCTCTTACGAGTGCACTTGTCGACAAGGATTCGTAGGGGACGGACTGTCATGTCATGACATTGATGAATGTGGCGATGGAACTCACAAGTGTGATAGGAATGCAGAATGCAAAAACATTATGGGCTCTCATGAATGCGTGTGTCGTTCTGGGTTTTCCGGCGATGGTTATGTGTGTCAAGATGTTGATGAGTGCAGCGACGGAAGTCATCTTTGCAGCCTTCACTCCAGGTGTGTAAACATCCCAGGATCGCACAGCTGTATATGTAAGGACGGGTATCGCGGAAAAGGACAGTCATGCAACGGTGAGCATAAAATTAGCAGTTGAAGCGCTATAAATAAGTAGCCTATGGCCCTCACTATTATGAATCTTTTTTAGACACTCCCGGTCTTGTGGTGGGAGCTTGATATTTCTAGGGTTGCTGTTCGTTTACTATTCTATCGTTGGATGAGAGGGATAATTAACTTATTTAATTCCTTCGTAGATATCAACGAGTGCAAAGAAGGGACAGCCGAATGCAGTTCGAAAGCAAGTTGTACGAACACACCTGGTTCTTTTAGCTGTAAGTGCATTGCGGGATACCGAGGCGACGGGAAAAATTGCCACGATAAAGACGAATGCAGTAGTGGTCAGCATTGTTCCAGGAATGCAGACTGCAGAAACACCGATGGCTCTTATACATGCAGTTGCAATTCCGGCTTCTATGGTAATGGTTTTTTGTGTTTTGATGTGGATGAGTGCAAAGAGGGTATTCATTGTTGTCATGCAAAAGCTCAGTGCTCGAATACCTGGGGATCATACAGTTGTTCCTGTAAGAAAGGATATCATGGAAATGGCAGGCAGTGTAAGGGTAAGCAAGCTGTGCTTCTAAGCTTTGTTTTTGCTTTGAATTTATCACGACCTTCAGTTAAAAGGCTATTACCTTGCATCAATAGGTTAACCTTCTGGTGGAGTATCCTGAATTTGTGAACCATCATTTTATTGTTTGAGGGGTGGCATGACCACAACTTATGCTCTCCCAACAGCGTTAACAGTGTTACATCTTTGAATGCACCTATGAAAACCTTCATTGTAAGCAATGCTGATTGAATTTGTTTTGACATTGTTTTCGTTTGTTTTGCAGCTTCTTCTGCTGGACGCCCCAGCCACTCATCGCAATTTTTCTATTTGGCACTTTTATCGCTTTTGCGTTATAATTACTTTGTAAGTACGTAAAGAAGAAATAAGTTGATGCATGGAAGCTACCTTTACAGTTTCCTTTAACACCATCCCATAAAGGGTTTGTAATGCATTGGAGTGTACGGTCCTCGAACATAATAATTTGGTCCCTTAATCCTCTGTTACTGGAGGTTTCAAAATACAATGACAGGAAAGTTAAAGAAGATTTATTTAAATATTCGTTGAAAATCAATATATTTTGTATAAATGAGGCCAATAAAACTGTTACTCCGTAACCTTTCAACTTTGCACTGTTATCAATGCTGTTTTATAATCAAGTTTAGAAATAAAAATTTCAGTACACAAACTGAAGCACATTGAGTCGATCACTGTTTAAGTTTTGTTAATACACCACAAACTTTACTCTAGAGTTTCTATCGCCTCAATTTTCCGGTTAAATTAAAATTATTGTGTTTGACCATACTTGAGCGAAGTGTTAGGATTTGACATTGGAAATATTGTTTTATTCAAACGCTTACTTAGTGGGTCCTGTTTCGTTGATACGTGATGCCTTTTATAATTCTCAACATCGAGTCCAGCGATGCATCCTAAGAAAGTTTTCAAATCAATCTTGCTGCTGTGAGATGAATGACCTTAAACCAATTCATCTAAGAGTGGCTTGCATCATGGACGGGCGGAGGAAGAGTCTTTATTCATTGAAAGTGGCCCTTTGCATCGAAAGTTGCAACTACGTAAAGCAATGTTTACTTCTAGCTCGTGAGTGGGATACTGGTCTATCGCAAGCTACTCCCAGTATTACATCACATTTTTCTCTACGGCACCAAATTGGACTCCTCAGCGGTGAGAGACACTGGGAGAGTCAAGCTTCTTGCTGAAATCTAACTTTATAATATTAATTTATCATCTTCTCAAGCAGCAAAATAAAAAGGTCACGTTAAAGAGTAGAGCGCAGGCCGAAACTTAATGTTCCAGGCGTAATGATGACGGTTTATCAGATTTTTTATGTAAGAAACAATAAATCGTAAATTATATTTGACTTATTCGGAATTTCACTAAAACTCCTTCATAACATTTTGATTTTAACCCTGCTCTTACGTCAATTGCATGCATCTGTCATGCAGTGACCAATGAGGGTTAACCTCGTTCGGAGAGGGGGTTCCCCTACTTAAATTCCGAGAAATCGGAAAAGCGTTGGTGAGAAGACTGAGTCAGTTATGACTCTGCATTGCACTTGAAAGCGACAGGTATCGAATTCATTTTTGATACTCATTCTATAATTATCGTTCACCGCCAAAATCTACAACCTGAGAAAATAACTATGTCATGTCAAGAAGAAAAACCCGGGCCGAAACTTAACGTTTCAAGTCTGAAAGAATTTCGGTGGAAAAAAGCCAGATGTTGGATTGCTGGTGTTACGTGCCTAATAACTGTGGTCATACTTGCACTGATATTTGGAAGCTCCAAAATTGAAGGTGAGTTTAGTTAATCATAAAGGAGTGAGAAGCATTTCTAATCCATATTTAGTATCCAAAACAACTCGCGGGTTTGCTATTCGCTGATGTGGATGATCGGGATATATGTAGGGGCATGTTCGTGAAAGATTTATCATATTTTGTGATTCTTCATAAATTTTTGTCGTATCGGCGTAAACCCTATATTCGATGCTTATTTGGGAGACAGTTTATGTAGATCCTTCTTCAAATTTCTAAGAGCAGTGTCAAATGATAGATTTCAGTACTTCTCCTTTACTTACGTTTGGACCGTGAAAAGCGACGGAAATGCTTTGCTAAGCACATTTGGATGATCCAAATGTTAAAATGAAACTACAGTAATTTTAGCTTAATGCTATCACTTTTAAGAAAAAATTGCCTCACTTAAAAGCCTGAAGTAAGGTTCCTGACCAAAGAAAATGGTACAGGCATTGAGGTAGACAGAGCCATCCGTAAGAACAGATTTCCGTGGATCATGAACCGTGCGGGAATCACTCTGTAGATCGTTTTGGCCGTCAGGCTAGTTCTCATGAGCAAGTATAAACTTAAGAAACTACTACGTATCACTAAGCGCAGAGTAGCCACAAAAACATGTAATAAATCCCTCACGATTGTCTGCCATGAATTATATTAACCTTTGATAATTAGGTTTAATTCACTTGCTGATATGTGCTTTAGTCTTGATTATGCTATATTTCTTGTCATATCCTTCGATCAACATAGTGCTCAACATTGAAAAACCGTAGTATTTTCCATTTTCGCGTGGATTTTTTTTTTGTTAATAGTTATGGTATAACACTTGTAACAGAAAACAACAGTTATGAAATGGCAATTGTCTGTCAAAATTATAACTTTGCATTCATTTCCCTTGACCAATGACGTAATTATTCGATGCTTCTTTGGTAAAATTAGCATTAGGGGGTTCCCCTGGCAGATTTCTGAGAAACCGTATGAGCTAAAATATGCTGAGGTTGTAATTCACATTTGGATAACGACACTCGTACGTTCGACTCCCTTTTGAATATTTCCTTGGAGATAATAATACAACATATTAGAAAACTATTGAGGGCAATAGTAGACGCATCAAGGGAAAGAATCGAAGTATTAGGTCTTCTTCTTAAGAGCCATGAACGGATCGACTAAGTCGAAATGGAAGACAGGACTTTTGATTCTGTTCGTCGTGACTGCTTGTTTTGTTGGGGCATTTGAACTGATATCATTGCTTAAGAGATCTCACGAAGATAAAGGTGAGTATTGAAACTATCTTTTAATTGCTGGGTAAAAGGAATGAATACAGAAATCACTGGAAAATTTTTGCGAGCTTAAATCTCTGAAAATATAACTATTGGCGTGAGAGTTGCTCAACATTCTTACAGACGTTTACTAGCTCATTCACCAATACTTTGTCTCAACAATGACCTTTCCTTCGATGTTTGCTTAAGTCCAAACTTATTTGTTAAAGATACTAACAGAACAGCGATGGAAATCAGCAGTTTAAGCTTATTTTCGACTGTGAACTTGAGAACAAGAAAATGCTTCGAAAGGCATTTTGCACGAACTGATGTAAAGCTTTTGTCTCTCGATTTAATCCGCTGAATAATTAATCTAGGGTCTCCTGAAAATTCGTTGTAATAGTAAAAAAAGTTCATCAGCCGTCTAGAATTTTGAAGTTCGGTACAAAAATTTTGATCCGTCTCGTCTCTACTTAACAGATACACCAACACCAGCGACAAGTTCTAACTGCTGTTCTAACTGTGATGGAAACGCCACATGCAAAACAAATCCAAAAGATAAGACTCATTTCAACTGTGTTTGTAATAGTGGCTTCCAAGGAGATGGATTCTCGTGTAAGGACGTTGATGAATGTAAAAGAAATTCTTCCACATGCAGTCAGCATGCATTTTGTATAAATTCCATTGGCTCGTACGATTGCCGCTGTTTGACAGGATTCCACGGCAAAGGTTACTCCTGCGAGGATATCGATGAGTGTCAGAGCAAAATCCACAACTGTGGCGACCATGCCGTGTGTGACAACATTGTAGGTTCCTATAAATGCAGTTGTTTCGATGGATTTGCGGGCAACGGACGGTCTTGTTACGACATTAATGAATGCAAAACTAATGCTCACAATTGTAGTGTTCATGCATCATGCAATAACACTGTTGGCTCCTACATGTGCAGTTGCCTGGAAGGATTCCAAGGCGATGGATGGTCTTGTCAGGACATCGACGAATGCAAGACTAACACACTCGATTGCAGTGTCTTTGCATCCTGCAATAACACTGTCGGCTCTTACAGTTGTGAGTGTCACAAAGGATTTCTGGGGGATGGACGATCCTGTCAGGATATTAATGAATGCCATACCAATAAAAACAATTGTAGTGATCACGCAATTTGCAATAACACCATCGGCTCCTACACATGCACTTGTCAACAGGGATTCATAGGGGATGGACAGTCATGTCATGACATTGATGAATGTGCTGATGGAACTCACAAGTGTGATAGGAATGCAGAATGCAAAAACACTATGGGCTCTCATGAATGTGTGTGCCTTTCTGGGTTTTCCGGCGATGGTTATGTGTGTCAAGATGTTGATGAGTGCAGCGACAGAAGTCATCTTTGCAGCCCTCACTCCAGGTGTGTAAACATCCCAGGATCGCACCGCTGCATATGTAATGACGGGTATCGTGGAAATGGACAGTCATGCAGTGGTAAGCATAAAATTAGCAACTGAAGCACTATAAATAGTTAGCCTATGGCCTTCACTATTATGACTCTTTTCTAGACACTCCTGGTCTTGTGGTGGGAGCTTGATAATTCTATGGTTGTTGTTCGTTTACTATTCTATCTCTGGATGAGTTTGATAATTAACTAATTAATTAATTGCAGATATTGATGAGTGCAAGGAAGGGACAGCCCAATGCAGTTTTAGAGCAAGTTGCACAAATACCCCTGGTTCTTTCAGCTGTAAGTGCATTGCGGGATACCAAGGTGATGGGAAAAATTGCCACGATGAAGATGAGTGCCTTAGTCGTCAGCATTGTGATTTGAATGCAGATTGCAGAAACACCGATGGCTCTTATACATGCAGTTGCAATTCTGGCTTCCATGGTGATGGTTTTTCGTGTCATGATGTGGATGAGTGCAGAGGGGGTATCCATGATTGTCATGCAAAAGCTAAATGCAGGAATACCTGGGGATCATACAGTTGCTCCTGTATTAAAGGATATCATGGAAATGGCAGGCAGTGTAAGGGTAAGCAGGCTGTGCTTCTAAGGTTTTTTTTGCTTTGAACTTAGCACAACCTTCAGTTAAAGGGCTGTTACCTTGCATCAATAGCTTAACCTTCAGGCAGAGTATACTGAATTTGTGAACCATCATTGTTTAAGGGGTGGCATCTCCACCACTTCGGCTGTCCCAACAGCCTTAACAGTGTTATATCTTTGAATGCACCTCTGAAAACCTTCATTTGTAAGCAATGCTGATTGAATTGGTTTTGACATTGTTTTTGTTTGTTTCGCAGTTTCTTCTGCTGGACGACCTCACCCACTCATTGGAATTTTTCTACTTGGCACTTTTATCGCTTTTATGTTATAATTACTTTGTAAGTACATAAAGAAGAAATAAGTTGATGCATGGAAGCTACCTTTACAGTTTCCTTCAACACCATTCCATAAAGGGTTTGTAATGCATTGTAGCATACAGACTTCAAACATTGTAACTTAGTCCCTTAATCCTCTGTTGCTGAAGGTTTTCAGATAAAGTTACAGAAAAGTTAAAGAAGATTTAAATATCCATTGAAAATTAAAATATTTTAATTTTAATGTAATTTATAATTTTAGTTTATTAGCTTTGCCAACACTACATGCGATGTAGAACATGGGTAAATTACAATAACAATAATGGGCAGGCAACCATAACAGCGATAGCCAATTACTGTAGTCCCAGGAGTATTAAAAGAATAAAACAATTACATCAATAATTAATATTTAAGAACAGCATGGAGTTGGTGTTGTTTTCAGGCTGTGACATGAATTACATTTTGTGCAGATAGTTTTATAAATTCTGGGACTGTAGATAGATCTCTTGGAGTGCAGTTGAATAATAACACATCAAAGCATGTTTGAAGTCATTTACATTTTTTATACTTAGGTTAAGCTTATCTGACAGAGTGTTCTAGATTCCTATTGTTCATACAATAAATGGCTGTTGAACGATTGAAGTCTTGCATTTTCTTGAAGGTACAGACTATTTAGTAACAGCTGTATTGGCAGACGATTGTATGTCTTGTAGAATGAGTGATAGGAACAACTGTAGGATCTATATCCACCAGACCATGGGTAATCTTAAAGAACAGTAACATATCTAAGTACTCATGCCAGTAGCTGATAGGTAGTAAGGAAAGGGTTTTTAGCTGTTGTTCACAACTCTGACAGCAGGAGAATGGTAGTTTCAAGATACATTTTGTGACCCATCTCTGTATCTTTTCTAGACTTGAGATAAGATAAAATATTTTGGTAAAATAAATTGTATTTTGGCACTTAAACTTGTATAGTATAGCCCAGATGTAGTCTAACAATGGTTAAATAGATTGATCTTCTTCAAGTTGTACAAATGAAGCCATTAGATTTGTTAGTCTTTAACCTACCAACTTTTCACTGGTATCAGTGCTGTTTTAAAATCTAGTTGAGAAATAAAAATGTCTTTACACTAAGTGTACTGACAAGTTTTGTTTTTTAATATATCACGAACTTTGCTGTAGAGTTTCTATTATCTCACTTTTTAGGTTGAATTAGTATTATTGTGTTTGACCATACTTGGGCAAAGTGTTGGAATTTAACTTTGGTTACATTGTTTAATTAAAATGCTCTCTTAGTGGGTCAGTTTTGTTTATATAAATATGTGATGCCTTTTATAATTTAGCCCTTAGCATGCTAACTTCAAGTTCCGGTTATAATCCCTTAAACTGACTTTATTTTTAGTAACGCACTTATACATGACAGTTGTTCCTTTGACTAGCAGTGAAAGCTTTACTTTTCATCAAATCCCAACAACCTGGTATATATCAAATTAAAGCTTAAGAAATTTCCTTTCTGATTATTCTATTACAATAACTTTTAACTTAAATTGCTTTTAAAATTTAGCTATAAAATCATGTTTTTGGAAAAACTTGACAAAAATTACACATTAACAAAAAACAGATCATATTAATTTCTTCCAAAAATTATCTGTACAAGCCTAAAATGGAAACCAGAGTAAAGCCCCAGTCCACAAGCCTAATAAAACAATTCCTGTGACTGTGACAGTATTTTTTCTCAATACAGTAGCAAGACTGCATATTTGTCAAGTGAACACATAATCAAAATTAGGAATTTATATATATTGTTTGGTTTTGAAGTAGTTCAAAACAGTCAGCCCAGTTGTATGGGTCTATGTTGTAACTTTATCTATTTCTGTGTTTGAATTGACTTCAAAACCTAACAAAACCAGACAAAAGATGAATAATGGTTATGATCAGTTAATCAATTAGTTTTGGCATCCACACTGTCATTATTAGCATCGTGTCTTCGAATATAGGCAGTAACATAGTCCTGAACAGTGGGGTACAACTGGAAGCGGTCTTGCATACAGAGGGCTACTTTGCAGACACTGCACTGAAAGCTACACTCTTCTCCTGGCCTCTTCCTTTTATCTCATGTCCTTTTGGGCAGGAAAGCAAACCATACATGCCCAGGTGATGTTGGACTTCTTCAAAGTGCCCAGTATTTTCTCTGGGAAGTGACCTCCCACTTCAAGATGGGTTAAGCCTTTGGCTGACCTTGCATGGCCTCTTGGAGTGAGAGAACGGGAGATGCCAGAATTCCTAACTAGCTCCTTCACAAGCTCCTTTTGAAAGGTCCTTTGCAGCACAGGTCACTGGGTTCTTTGCTTGCAGAGGATGTAAGCATTCAGGATGCTTAAAGAAAACAGGTGGAAAAACTCTCTCTCCCACCATTTCATGGTGTGTCACATTAAGTAAGAATAGACCACCATCTGATAACATCTGTCAATTGCCCCCATGAACTTATTGTAGTCATGAATAATCTCAGGTTTAGTGATTGGACCACCAGTTTCAGGGTGATTTTGGCCAACTTCTACTTCCACTACAGAATGAACTGATGAAAGCATCTGGAAAACTCTGCTGCCCTTAAATTTAAGAACAAGTCTCTGTAAGAATCAAACGTCTTGGGAAATGAAAATTTCAACCTCCCTTCAAATTTTGCATGCAGTTAGGTACTCAGGGGGGATGCACAAAAATGCTCTTATTAAAGGGTGCAGCACTCTTGTTGCCATGGTAACAACGGCTGCTTGTTCGAGGCCTGGGGCCTCATTTTCATACAAAAACGTCGCAAAAAAAGAGTGAAATGTTTTTTTCTCTATCTCAAGCTAAATACAACATTACAAATTGGCACTTCTGTCATACATAGTAACATCATTCATCTTCACATTGATACAGTCAATTTTCCCTGGGAGTGAAGCTGAACACACTAACAGATTATTCATTTCGGTACAGTTCCGATCATCTTTGTTGTCGGGTGAAACAGGGAAAACGTTTATCTGAATTTCTCCAAAAGTACACCGATTCTGGAACTGAAACTACCCACATAGCTGGTTATAATATTCTAGTTTTTAAAAATGTTAAAATTTCTGCGGGCCTGCCTCTACTTTCCATAGGAGCAATTCGCGAACGAAGCTCAAAAATCAGATATTGTATAATTTGGCGATGTTTACATCGAATGTTCTCGACAACAAATGTTTCAGAAAAATGAAACATGTAAAGCTTTGAAAGAATGTCATCTTATGAACAATATCCCGAAGAGAAATCTCGCCTCTGGTCGTCATCTTTTAAAAAAAAATTGATCAACCTTCATGGAGGACTACTCGACGTAACTAAAAAGATATACCTCAAATCGTGTGCATATCATCCAGATTCCGAGTGCTGCACCTTCTTTCATGGGAATTTGATTGACCTGAAGTCCTCTGAAGATACACTGTTATACTTGTATGTCATTTGAAACATGTTAAGTCGGCTGATCTATATGAAACCTATCCTCACACCGGTCATTTGTCATAACCATGTACGTTATCACGATGGCGTGACACTGTATTTCTCCGTGAAGTTTCTATCGGTCGCTCCAAAAAAGACGAGAAATTGATATTTTTCGTATATATCAGCAGATTTCCGCGCACTCCGAAGTAAAAACAACCGAAAAAAAAAAGAGGAAAACCCTGACTGAACGCTCGTAAACACTGAAAATCTGAGAGTATCAATCGTAACCTGTCAGCGGCAGTACTACATGTAAAACCCAGTTGTAACAATAGCAATTTGAACGACATAGGCATCTCCCTACAAAGAGCAGATTCGGGCAGTTATCATTTCCTTGTGACAGGAACTAAGATAATTCGAATCATCTGAAAACTGTCAGAAAACTGTTAGAAAATTTGCATAAGATATGATGAGGAGAGACTTATCACCGTCGCAGTGCAATCGAGTCAATCAATGTTTCCTTCTATGTCTTGTTATAGAAAATATCATAACAAAGTTCGAAATAAAAGATTAAATGAAATAATAATGTCATTATTCCACCTTTCAAACAACTTATTATCCACAGGCAAATCGCAACTCGTAACTTGAGCGAAACTCCCCATGGTTAATATGTAATCTGGATTGCTTCAGGACCTTCAGGAAAAAGAACAGCGATTTCATCACCATTATTTTCCATACTTTTCTCCCGGATATCTTTTACAAGCTTACAGAAAGATGAATATAGCGCAATCTCCTAGTGATTTACACGAGAGGAAGACAAAGGTCTCTCTGATTTTCCCTTTAGGTGGCCGGCTCACCAGGAAGAAACAGGAGATCGTTCGGTCCAATAACGTTAGTCTGTGGAGATTATCAATCTAATAACTGAGAAGATTGTGCCCTTTGGTTCATCAGTGACAGCATTAATTATTACAAACATGTATTTCTCCGTCCAAGCGACAACAAAAATAGTTCCTTTGTAATTTTGTAAGCACTTCCTATAGCATTTTATTGTCAAGGGAAATAAATCTCAAGGTTCAAAGCCAATATAACGTTTGAGAACGAGAAAGACTCCCTAAAAAAAAGCTACATTTCTGGAAATTGGTTGTGATGAAATCCCTGTTCCATTTGCTGTACTGCAAGGATACTGAGTAGTTCAAAATCTCCACTTTGTGATGATTTTTGCGCGAGTCGTACAAATTGCTATTATTGGCGACTGGGTTTTACATGTAGTACTGCCGCTGACAAGTTGCAATTTCTGCTTTCAGATTCTCAGTGTTTACGAGTGTTCAATCGAGGGTTTTTTCTTTCTTTTTTGGTTGTTTTTACTTAGAATGCGCGGAAATCTGCTGATATATACGAAAAATATCAATTTCTCGTCTTTTTTGGAGTGACCGATAGAAACTTCACGGAGAAATACAGCGTCACGCCATCGTGATAACGTACATGTTTATGACAAATGACCGGTGTGAGGATAATTTCGTGTAGATCAGCCGACTTCAACATATTTCAAATGACATACAAGCATAACAGTGTATCTTCAGAGGACTTCAGGTCGCTCAAATTCCCATGAAAGAAGGTGCAGCACTCGGAATCTGGATGATATGCACACGATTTGAGGTATATCTTTGTAGTTACGTCGAGTAGTCCTCCATGAAGGTTGATCAATTTTTTTTTAAAAGATGACGACCAGAGGCGAGATTTCTCTTCGGGATATTGCTCATAAGATGACATTCTTTCAAAGCTTTACATGTTTCATTTTTCTGAAACATTTGTTGTCGAGAACATTCGATGTAAACATCGCCAAATTATGCAATATCTGATTTTTGAGCTTCGTTCGCGAATTGCTCCTATGGAAAGTAGAGGCAGGCCCGCAGAAATTTTAACATTTTTAAAAAGTAGAATATTATAACCAGCTATGTGGGTAGTTTCAGTTCCAGAATCGGTGTACTTTTGGAGAAATTCAGATAAACGTTTTCCCTGTTTTACCCGACAACAAAGATGATCGGAACTGTACCGAAATGAATAATCTGTTAGTGTGTTCAACTTCACTCCCAAGGAAAATTGACTGTATCATTGTGAAGATGAATGATGTTACTATGTATGGTAGAGGTGCCAATTTGTAATGTTGTATTTAGCTTGAGATAGAGAAATAAACATTTCACTCTTTTTTTGCGACGTTTTTGTATGAAAATGAGGCCCCAGGCCTCGAACAAGCAGCCGTTGTTACCATGGCAACAAGAGTGCTGCACCCTTTAAAAAGAGCATTTTTGTGCATCCCCCCTGAGCGCCTAACTGCATGCAAAATTTGAAGGGGGGTTAAAATTTTCATTTCCCAAGATGTTTGATTCTTACAGAGACTTGTTCTTAACTGCCAGCAAAGTTCCATTGTTCATAAAAAAATTGTCACCTTTTCTTTTCTTTTGAGCCATTTTAAATTCTTAGGAATACCTTTCCTGTAGCGGGCTGTTCGGTAGGCCCCAGTGTTTGTCCTATAGAGCTCAGCAAATAAAGTAGGTGATGTGTAGTAGTTGTCAACATACAGACACCTACCCACATTCAAATAAGGTTGCATGAGCCTCAAAACTAAGTCATATGTTTTACCTTTAGCACTGGGTGGATCTGGGTTTACACCAGTGTAAATTTCAAACATACAACAATAACCATTACTTGAGTCAC